ACATTTTAACATTCATAACGTTGAATGCAGTTTAATAATGCCCATATACGAAGACAGAGATAAATGCTGAATTTCACCGGCGTGCAAGATCCTTTTTCCAGATGCTCGGTTCATTCAGCGGGCAAATTAACGAACGTCATGCACGTATCGTGCACTATGATAATTATAATTATTATCTGCTGCAGCACACATATGCAAAGCGGAGAGAGGCTTTATTTCGCTTACCGGAGATAACGAGGTGTTCGCGTCGCGTACACGCGCCCGCACGTTGCAGACAGACTGTTGCAAATTTAATAACAAGTAACAATAAAAACGGTTATTTGGACGCCGCGTTATCCCAAGAGGACCCCGACAATGGCGATAATGGCTGCACAAATGTGCGTCGGTTGCTCGCGTCCGAGTCCGGATTATTATTCGCACCGCATGCACCATGGGGGCGGATTAAAACGGATTGTTGCATGATCAGAGACGCGGAGGGTGTTATACCGATTTTCTCCTGCAATATCAATAGTATCGTCACGGTTTCATCCGATCCCGTTACGTTAATAACGTGTTGTTCGTCGCGCGACGCGACCGTCGATCACGTTGAATATAGGCAAAACTTTTTAATTTCCTTTTTATCTCTTACAATTAGATCATACGATAGACAAAATGCCGGCCGACAAATATTGTGTCATTTACGAAAACACTTTTGTAACTCCCATCCTCCATGTATGCGGTTACATACAATATACATTGGGCTTCCCAAAATTGACCAATTGCAGTCGAAAATGATGAGAATATTCAATTCTTCCAATCACGCTTATTTGTATAGAATGAGCTTTTAGACGACAAACAGAGAATCCGTTAAGATTAGCCAACAGATCATCGACACAAACGCGAATTCCGCAGTAATTTTTGATCTTTGGAGTCTTTCAGAATCTTTTTCACTATTTCACGATGTACTATACATGTTATGTTTACACGGAAATATCATAGGTATATGATACTGGAGTTAGCGCGACTTTTCTTCTCTACGACTTCGCTGTCGAATGTTACCAAGCTGTATACACCACACCCATACACACATCTTATCGAGAACTGCCTTTGGCGAAACGTCGAACTATCGATGGTTCACTGGGGCAGATGTCGAGAAGCCGCGATCCATGATATTACACAATGCATACGTAATGCGCCGGCTTCGGTGCGGCTCGCGACATGTCCACATTCGTCCATGGTAGATATTTGCATCACGAAAGCTCTCATATCACGAGACATCATTCACAGAGGGATACATCTGAACGTATTAACCTTCGAAGCTACGTTAAAATCTGTAACATAGTTATTGACGTTGGGGTTTGTGAGATTTATATAATTCATGTTGACTAAAAGACACTAATTAATTTCTAGGAGTCAAAATGACATAATTCATATTGAAAAAGAATGAATACTAAGTTTATTTTAATAATAATAATTCAAATTTATATAAATGTAACGTAAATGTAATTAAATGGGTCCATAATAGCGACCTACTGTCAACCGGAAGAATACGATTGAATGGGATTAATTTAATTTATATTGATTGGAAAAGATATTAATTAATTTTAAGAAACCAAACTAATATAAAAAGTGAATACTAAATTTATTTTAATAACAGTAATACAAATTTGCAAATGTATAATATAAAGAATATAATCGAGTGGATATTCAATAGATCCATCATCAGCTCTAGAATGTTCTCAACTCTACATCTCTATGTAGATACACGGTAGATATAATCAAATTATTTTTGCCAAAAGAATATCGTCAAAGTTTATTATTAAATAACATTGTTCTGTTACAATTTGCTACAAATGTAAAAGTAAAGAAATGCAAGAAATATATTTTATAAATACCACCATGGCCATGTAGTATGTTTTAATAGTAACGAAAGGTAAATATTGACGTATAAAAAAAGAATTATCTACAACCGCGTTCAACACAGTTTCGCTAAAATTTCCTCGTTTCTTTTTTTGACAATGATGAAAGCATCTTCGATTTTTAGAACTCATTTAGTGGACTGTTCGTATGGCTGTCGCGTTTCGGAGGTTTGCACCCGGGGAGAGATTTATTACGGTCCTCTTTGTCAAAAATGTGTCGTATTCGCAACGCGGAGGAGTTCAAAGGGAACAGGTATCAAAGTTGCGTCCATTATTCGAAATGGATACCATCGAGCCCCGTACTTTGATCCTTGTTTTTACATGCGATATGAGACGCGGTTTCCTCCTCTTGATGTCGATTTTCTGCACAGTTTCGGCTTTTCCGAGGAAGTCACGCGTCCGATGTTGCAGCGTGCTTTAACGCGAGTGTGCAACGCGAGGCTTCACTGTTCCTAAAGTTAGCTGAGCATTAAGCGACGTACGGATGCACAATCTACGCAAAAGGGGGCGAAATGCGCCGTTTCTAGCAGTCGCAGTTTCGAAACTGTATAATGAGAAGTCGCACTTTCGGACGAGCATGAACAGTTGTGTCGACGTTGTCACTCGACGTAAAAATCTTAAGTATATTATAGCTCGCGTGTCGACTCTGTGATGGATATTGTGGTAACTCATTATACAATGCAATTATTGTCAACATCTTAAAGCGCTCGAAATACATTTTATAGTTTCTTTTTAAGAAAAATTAGTAGTAATTAACTACTACTAACTTGTACTTTAAAGTCTGAATAGCCGTACGACATCAATCAACCATAGCAGTCGTTTCGTGACAAAAATCAGACCGTAATGGTACTACTGCATTAAGAACTCGTGGAGAACAGTAGTTCGTGAAGTAGTAAAAAGTGCACGAATGCGGCAGCTGTTTACCGCAGTGAAACGTTAATCGCGACGATCGTGACGCAGCAACGAAAGGCGAAGATAAAACGAAAATGGAAGGGCCGCGACAGATTCGTCCGAAGTTTGCTTGTCAGCAGTCAGATCGATATTTTCTAGTGGCGAACTTTTCTCAGGACGCAAAGTAGATCGGCTGTCATTCCCGATTTGTGTTCCCTCGACCGATAGAGCTTCTTGCGACACGAACTTCGCGATTACTTTGCGCGAATAGCAGACTGCGCTGACATATATTTCTGCGAATCAGTTTAAAAGTATTTGTAGTTCGGTTCCTTCTAGTTTCTCGCCACACAACTGACTTTCCTTTTGTTTGCCTCGGTCGTCTGACAACCTCTGTATCTTGTGTTTCTTATTCTGCCGGTGTTCCTTCCTTACGGCTATTTGAATAATACAAGCACTCTTGAAACTAAACTAAAAAGTTATAAGCATCGTATTAACGCTTTGATATTTTTCGTATATACACATTTTGCGCCAAGTTGTTTGGTTTGAAGGTGAACGACGTGCGATAAACTATAGCGAAAGTGATATTCTGCTGGATATAGAAAATTTCCACCCCGAGAGCATTCTGAATTTCAGATATCAATTTATCTAATAACAGCTCCCTTTAATCTGTCGTATTTGCGCTAAGAACATTAATTATCTCAACGGATCGAGTTTCTTCCTCAGGCTCGCCCGTATTATCCTCGCCGACGTGTTTACCATCATCGTTTCACCGCGTCACGATGTGCCGACTACTTTTTCCACCTTGGGACGACGTTCCCCGATATAATTTATAGCGATATCTCTCTGAAGTCTCGCCAATCGTAAACAGAGTAAAAGACGAGCAAGAACACGAATGTATCGAAGTATGTTAACTATCCGACATCGCAGGCGGGAAAGGGGTGGCGAGCGAAATATCATCGTTATCATCGCGCGGGACCGAAGGGATTCTTACTCGGTCGGCGTATCTTGAGCACACGAAACGTGCTCGTATATTCGATCTTATTCAACAGAGCATTGGAGGTTAATGCGAAGTTAATCTCGCATGACGCCTCCACCGCGCGCGGTACCGCGATTTTCCCGACGTACGTGGCTCGCAGAAAAGAGCGACAACCGTTGCCCCTGATTTACCTTTAATGGCTTTTAATGCCTTCCCGCCGGGGACAGCCGCCGCCACTTGCAGTTTTCTTTCCCACCGCGAGACTTCCTTGCGGCAAGAATCATGAGCTTCCGGTACTCGGACGTTTTTCACGAACGCGAAATAGAAGTGCGGGAAATTTCAGTTACATTTTCCATGAGTATTTCGATTCATTTTTTATTGTCAATGTTATAAGTTGAAGTAAGGCTGCGAGATTATTTTCCATGCATGTACTGAGAGAGAAAAATGCGTACCAAGTTTTAATAAATACTTGTTTGAATATAGTGCTAGTTAAATATTTAGTAAATATACCTAAGTATATATATATTTATTTATCATGAGAACCATTAATTTGATTTAATTTTTATTACTTTTATTTAGCAGGTATTTATTTTTCGTAAATAAATGTTATTACTAATACTAAAATAATTATTTATTAAAATTTAATACAGTTTTTTCTCTCAATGTAGAAATCATCGTTATTTCCCCGATTAAAGGTTAAGTTAATCACGTTGATGTAACCTACAACAACGACAGTATCATAATTAAAAGATAACATTCATAATAATTTAATTGTTTAAAGAGATGTTGGAGAAACGAGAATTACCAGTTAGAAATTTCGTCCAAATTGTAAAATCCTTTTATATAGAACTGAATAGACACAAAATAAAGATGCGAGATGAACTTTATATTGAAAAATTGAACTTTTGTAGCACTGTCATCTCTGAAGTAGATGTTTCCTTAATATAAAAGTTCTATAACTATACGAACAAAATGAGACCGCCTCGCACTTTGAATTATGTGAAGGAACAATATTGAATTTACAGAACTACGATTGAAAAAACCTAGAAAAAAAGATTTTTCCTGTAGTGCAATTTACATTCGTGATGTAATAGTATATTTACAGTGATATGTCGATGTTTTGTAAATCATATGTGTGTTGAAGATTGGCCGCAATTATAGCATCTCTTTAATATTTACTTGTTTTTTAATTATTATTAATTTATCGCTAATGACTGTAACTGTTTTTGTTTCAGGACTCTGTCAACAGGATGCGGTGCACATCACGGCTATTCTCGGGGAGAGCGTTGTCTTCAACTGTCACGTAGAGTTCCCCGGTGAGCACCCAGTGCCCTACGTTCTCCAATGGGAGAAGAAGGTAGGCGACACGGTACGATATCGGACGATATCGCCTCTGCTCTCTATATCCGTGAGTTAAAAAAACGGGGGCACTCCTCGAAAGCGCCGCGCCTCTGGTATCAGCAAGCTGCCAAGTGTACCATCGCGACATTTTAAACGACGTTCGGAGAGAATCATTCGACGTCATATCGAGTGAAAAGTCTCTTTTCGCTTCGCTTCCTCGAGCAATCGACGCGTACAAAATCGTAAGCGCGCCTTCCGACGCCATTAACACCCTCGCGACGCTTAATGTCTTTTTTTCCTTTTATTAAGAGAATCATTGCATATTGCAATCTCTCTTAATTACCGCTGATATATGAGATACAAAATAACGATGGTAATAACGACACGGAGTAATGGAAAGATCGACATTCTTCGATCGTCGCTTAATCCGAGACGCACTCCATGAGATATCGTAAATTTCTTCGGGTGGAAATCCACTGGAATTGTCGCAGTTCGCTCAATGCGCGCTCACTCCCGCGGAAAGAAATTTGCACTTCCGAGACTTCTTTTTTAATTCCCCGATTAAACGTTGCATAATCGCGAACTGGAGCGTGAAAAGGCAATATGGGAGGGAGCAAGCAGATACGGCGCGCTCCGGCCTGTCGTGCCCGAATAAACAGTTATTTCAATGAATTCTGTGATTCAGCTCTTCTTTTTCTGACCACTATAAAATTAATGATCCCATTTTAGAGTTTTTATATAATTGAATTAAACCAATTTTTATTCAATTAACAGAAGTAATCTCCTATTTTCGATCGAAGCGGATCTTAATGCTCAGTAATGCAAATTTTTACAAATATGTTATCTCAGTTTTAGAAACTATACGCGCTGATAACGTTTGTCGGACTTGAAACGTAATTGTAAACTAAAGGTGAAATTTTAATATCTCGAATTAGCTTAGCTTGTTCATTTTAATAGTAAATATAGTAAAAAATATAGTAGAAGATAATTTATTGTGCAAAAAATATTATTTCAGTCGGGATTTGAAATTCTAATTTTTCCAAAAAATTCGAGAGTTAACGATACTTTTTAAATAGATTTCTAGAGCCTCAAGAATTTTGTCAATATACTTACCTAAATATTTTTAAATCGTCAATTTTAATTAAAATAAAATAAATTGTTCGCGAAACCATTAATTTTTTATTACAACTGTACAGTTACTGTCTCATTATACTTTTTTACATCAAACTGTCAAAATGTTCCTCTATGTCGATGCTCGTTTTTCATTTCGTAATAATTGGCGTGAATAATGTGATAAAGTTTGACCGATTGTAAAACTAAAGAAATATTTACATACTGTTCGAATATCTATGGAATCTATAGTAATCTTTCCTGACTTTATACGGATAGTGTCGATGGTGCCGGAACTTCGTCAGCAATTTTTTTTTTCAATATCCGCACAAAGTAATTTCACATCATGAACATGGATGAATTTACATATTATTATTGATTAGGTATGGTTACGCGTACTAGTGAGCTCGTACCAATGAGGCAGAGCGCAGCGGAGGGCACACGTTTTTGAAATGTTACTGCAACGTTATTGTTACTGACAGAACTTTAAATTGGCCGTATATTTACAATTTGTTGGCTTACGCGCTTACGTTCTTCCGTTTGTCGTTTTGTATATCTTGTTTGATTTTGATTGGTGGAATCGATAACGGCGAACGGGACGCGCCTCTCGTTCGTGCGAGCGAGCGAGCGAGCACCGCCGCAAATTATTCGCTCGAGTAGAGTAAAAGTAACGTACTTTGTATCACACGTTGTATCTCGTCCGGACTGGAGAGGGCAGAGCACATTACATACATCAATTAACGACGTCATCCGATCATTCAATCAGTACTAACTACATGAATTCTAGATCATAAAATGCGAACAGTCTTATTTCATTCATCTCATGTGATGATCACATATCATCGCGATATACATATGTATACATGGGTTGGCGATGCGGGTGCGCGACGAAAATGAGCGATACGTAGACGTACAGATGTAATTACCAAACGTATCGAAAACCGCTTGAAAAATAGTGAAAGCGGTCCGTTGTAAAATGTCAATTCTAGTTCCTGGCGGCGCATCGGAAACCTGTTATCGTGAATCGCTCTCGCAAAATGAAAAATTAAGGATCATTATGGTATATTCGCTTCATCGATATCCGACTCTCCATTGGTATCATCATTTACCGATCGATCAATCTCCTTCGAGTATTCGCCAGGATTTTCATTCGTAATACGGTTACGTGTAAAATGTGAAACGGCGTTTTACACACCGCGGAACCGTAAGCTTTTTTTTTTACGCGCAAATTAGTGGTGACGTATTGCGATTTTTCGCGAGTACTCGCGCGCACCCAATAATATTCTCGTGCTAGACTTTTATGGAGACTTCGTTGCACCATTTCGAGTGAGAGAGAAGAGAGCGAAAGAACTGCCCGATCGTAACGCGTATATTTTAAACGGTGTGCAATTCGGTGTTTATCTGTGGAGAAACTCACGTCGAATCCACCCTCGTAAAATCGCGAGACGTTGTTGTCTCGATTTTCCTCTCGATTAGATCCAGAAGTGTCCAACATTATACGCGTTTACGATTCGTCGCAGCTCTTTCAAACGACGAGCTCGCCGTTTCGTGAATTCTTGCGATGTAAAAAAGCAAGAAAAACAAGGGAGCGTTTTTTAACCTCTCTAGTTTTTAACCTCTAATTTTCGAATTTTATGTGTTTTCGATTGTGCGCGTGCGTGTGTTTCTTATATTTCATATATATACCTTTATATATTTTTTTATATTCTTTATTGTTTGAGGTGAGTCACTACTTTTGATTTTTTAGTTGAATTGAGTTAACGAAATTAAAATTTTATTAGATCGCACATCAGATCGGGAAATTTGAGGGTGACTTGGTTTCAAACATTCGGAGGAGTAAAGAGATTTATAGTTATGCTGAAGATGACTCCAAAGTAGAGTCGAAACGTCCATTATTTTTCAATATTTTTTAAGAATAAATTATTAACTACGTACAAAGAACCACGTCTAACTCTTTACTGCCTGTTCCTTGGATACATATTTCACTGTTTTAAATATCGAGAGTTCGTAAGGAAATTACACACTTGACTTTGTTTATATTTTTTATAATATTTATTAAAGTTTATTCAATGAATTTTATATCTTGCAACATAGGTATGGAAGCATAACATAGACATAGAGAACACTTTTTATCTTTAAGGATGTATTATACGTACTTTTTAACAAAATTAAAAAAGTTTAAAAAAATAATAGATTTTTTTATATTGTGTATTTGAAAATAATACAAAAAGTTTTTGATAATGATTTAAAATCTGAATTAAAAATTATTTCAATAGACATGTTTTTAAAAAATAATTAAGTTGAAATGAAAAAAATTTCATTTAAGCTATAAAATTACATTAAATATAAATATTGACCTTATTGCACTGTTTTGTACACTCTGAGAAAAACAAATCGAAATATTCGCAAACAAATATTGTACATATAACGTTTTTTCGATATTTATCGATCATCAAAAAAATTTAACTGATGACAAAAATATTTTTGTGAAATATACGTATTTCATTAAAAAAAAAGTATAATAGTTTATTTGTTAGAAAAATAACATTTTATTTCACCGTATTTGAATAAGAATTTATTTTAGTAAAATAAACATTATATCTTACAAGTAAATTTAAAAATTTTTTTTCTCAGTGTGAATATTGTTTTTTTTATACGGAAAATATAAATTTCTAATTTCCGTAACTTTTTGCATAGAAACTATACATCTGATACTTAAATCATAGAATGATGTCGACTGTTACCTTTCTGTGATCTCAGGAATGATCAAACGATGCAATGCTTTGCTCGGAATCAAGAATGAATACCCTTTTCGTTCTTTGAGATTGACTTTCGATGTCTGCTTTGAGTATCCTCGTTTCTTTTAGTACATCGACGTCCAGTTTGAGTATTTCGAATTATTCGCGCGCGGCTTGTCCGCGAACGGCCAGCTCGTCCATCACGAAACAATGCGGAGTAGTGCACTTTCCCACTTCTATCTCGGGGGCGGAAAATTGAAAAATCATGTCTCTGTCTCCTCTAACCTCTGGTGCCTTGCATGCGTTGTTCGCTGTTGCACACGGTGGTGGTGGATTTAATCGGAGGGGAAAAAAACGCACGTCGCGTGTGGCTAAACCAACACGTATGACTGCCGCATAAAACTACGATGTATCATCGATGCAATTAGATCGTGCAATCGTGGCTTCGGCTCGCTGTAAAATGCGCAATCGCGCTCTGCGGATTCTTCCCGCTGTGATTTACGCGATCTTGTATGCATGCAAAAATTGACAATAATGTGCATACGAAAAAATATTATAATTTTCAATGAAAGATTTTAGTCTTGATTTGATTGAATTTGTGCTGATGCAAATATTACAATACTTTGCGCTCACAAGGCTAAAAATCTTGCATCAGTATAAATTCAATCAAATCAAGACTAAAATATTTGAAGCCGGATTACGATATTTTCGCTTATAGGTATATAAAAATATTATTATCAATTTAAGACTAATTGTCTTTCTGTGTTCGCGAGTGTGTTATAAAAATTAATAAAGATTGGAAAAATTATAAATTACTTATAAGTTATTTTTTTAAGTTATCTTATATGTGTTCGTTATAGAAATTGAATACAAAAAGTAATACAAAATTGCAGCCATTAATAAAATATATAATGGAAAGAAAATGAAATACCCGAACTTATTGTACTCAGTTTCTGTAATAAAAAGTAACTCATAAGTAATTTGTCAAGTAATTTTCCCAACTCTGAAATTAGTGCACCCACCTGCAATTGTCCGACACCACCACCGGCAAGCATGATCGTGATATTCATGTAGAAACTTTTGCCTGCTACGTAGGGTGATGTAATATGTATATGTTCAGTGATATCTCGTAGTCGCATGTACATTATAATATGTCGCATTACCGCGA